AGAAAATCAATGACGCAATTCGTAAAAATGCTAATCACCACATCACCGAGTTTGCGCACAGAGAAATGAGAGCTAAGAAAGTGGTAAATTCGGAAAAGGAAAATTAGACTTCACCTTAATTTTATCCTAAAAGCCATTCACCGACCAAACTTGAAGTTCAATAACATGAATGATTGGCAAATTAGGAGAAAAAAATTCTGTTGCTACTTCAGTTTCTTGCGTAGTTTTGTCTTGCTATAAATTATGACCTCTATTAACTCTAACCACGTTTTCACAATACGAAAAGGAATTCGAGATTAGTGAGGAGAAGAGATGACTTGGAATACAGAGTCCGCTTAAATCACCATTATTAATGAAAAAGCATGGAAGCGGGAATGAGTCCACAATTATTGATGTTAATCTGCCTATGCTCATCAATGCCAGTATTCAGGTACATAATTGTATAGTTGCTTACAGGTTATTAAATTTAGGATGCACTCAAACTACGAAATACTACATTTTTCAATTCACCTCCTCTCCACACCCCCCCCCCCCCCCCCCCCCCCTCCCTTCCTCCTTCAAACATCAATACTAACTTACCAATATCTGTTGAATAGGAACAAAGGGTCCGGAAAAGATAATAAATTGTTATATGCTTTCTTCAGCTTTCGTTAAATATAAACAAACAATGCATGTTTGATGTTAAAAACGGAGTTCGAAAGAAGTTCCCTTTCGATAGTATCTACTTGAACGTAAAAGCAAAGGAGAACGAATAGTTCCATTACCAATACTTTTTTTTAAAAAAAAGGCGAACCAATGATTGAATTGCAAACAGGTCATGCTTCACAAAAAAAAACACTGCTCGTAATTTAGAGGGAAAGATAAATTTTTTTCCTAAGGAGAATAGACAAAAGTGTTATCGTCTATTAAAATATTCAGAACGCGTTAACAGGAGAAGAAAATCCGAAAATTTAGCGGGAATTCGAAGAGGTTGACATCTGGATGGAAAAATATAAGACCATCAGTAAAAGTGCAAATAAGGTAATAGCCCTGGGTGGTAAACAACAAAAAGAAATCAATATAAAAGAGATCAATTTTCCCATTAAATGAATAAATTGCCAACGATTGAACGAAACGGGCGAGTAACAAAGGTTAACAATTCACGAAGTTGTCAAAACACAAAAGCTGTAATTGACAAATTTATACAAGGAAACTTTGTAGTGCACTTTGCATGGACTTTGTTACAGCATTTATTTTCCACCGGATAATTTAACACAGTTCCTTCACCTCCATTCGTCATTTTATTTCTGAAAATGGATAAGCGGTAGATGACATTCAGCAAAATCTCACAGTAGTCAAATTACCAAAATAAAGGAAGATTTTGCAAAATGAGATTAGAATAAGTAAAGTGTACCCTCCTCTTCATTACAAATGTTTAAAGTGGAAGACGGTTGCCCTCCTTGGTATATGTTTGATAGTAACTGAGTAGATTTAATGGATTCACACATTACCAGCCACGGGTGTCTTACTCATTAATTAGCTGCGGATCCCTCTAACAATAGAAATGAGTAATCAACTCAATGTGATAAACAATATTGTAAAAATAAAAAAACAAGAAATAAGCATTAATATTAATACTAATTTACAACAATGACAAAAGCTGCATGCGAATACAAAAAGGAAGAGACGCAAAACCGCTCCAGCGTTGTGCATAACCTGAACCTCGCCTTCCAAGGTCTGGTCACATCATTATGTCACGAGCCCGAATTTAGTTAATAAACAGGTGATGATGGCAGTTAAATGTGATTTGTATTTCAATTAATTCGTGAAAAGAGGTGATAGGTCGCAGAAAAATTCATGCACTCTCGGTTAACTACCATATTGGATTCAAATAGCGCTCAAAATTAATATTTTGAGTATCTTTATACGTGGCCAAAGGGGATAGGGAAATACGTAATGAGGATTAAATAGGCAGTGAAAATAATAAATTTTGCTATACAGAGAAAAACAGTTTAACGAGTGTCAAAAGTATAGCTAGGTGTTAGTTTGCTTAGACACACAGATTTTAAAATTAGAGAAAAGAGATCAATGAACTGTTAACCCTTTAAAGTCTGAATTATTTTTTTTAAGAGCACCCAATCGCACTCACGCGTGCCCCACAGCAGACTGATCCCGCCGACGTGATGAGTTTTAGTGGTATCAGGCGAAGGCCATAGACGTATTGACTGTGTCACAAACGACAATTGGGCCCTCTCCTACGAGTCTAGTTCCAATGTTGCTTACTTTGAAAGAGGGCAATACCGTTTAAAATGTGTTAAAAGGTTAAATTTGTACTTCCGAAAAAAACCTCAATGGTTGAAGAAATATTTACCCCTTTCGAACGGGAAAAACATGCATAGCATAGAGGTGATAATAATGGTAATAAAGGATTTTCGTAGACGTACTTAATAAGAATATGTCAAAAATAGATTTAAAAAAAACTCCGCACCATCAAATGGTTAGAGTTCAAGACATGCACTTTCTTTTGGCATAAAGAGTACTTAACGCAGCTTGTGAAATGAAAGGAAATAAAAATAAGTGAAAAAAAACAATTCAACGATCATGAACTTCAATGTTTGAAGCACCAACGGAACATGTCAATAATTTCAAGACAAGATTCTAAAGACAAATAGAGGCCAATAGCAATTAAAGCTCTTGAGTTGTCGTTGCTTTCCATGTCCGAATCTTTCAAATTTCACTCTATTCCTCTGCAATAATTGAAACCCCTGTCTCAGTTTCCTCAAACATCAATTTGATTGGCCGGAAACAGGTTGCCACTTTATAAAATAATTGGTTGATTTAAGAAAAAAGCTAAATTACATGATCACAAGTTAATTCCCAAGAGAGGGACGACATGGAGCCGAACAACTACTTGATTGACTGCCTAATCTGGAATCGTATAATTGCCAAAATAGAATAGACAAGAGCGAAGAAACTTTCCACTCAAATCTGATTAGAGTTAATTATTTTGTTTGCTCGAAAATACACCCAGACAAGGAATTGACAAACTATAAAATACTAGTGTTTTCTTTACGGCAGTGTAAGTTAATTTTACTTCATAAAGACATTCATTTTATTGGAAAATGTATACTTCTTTGCAACTCCTAGATATGGCAGACGCTCTAATTGATTATTCAATATAATTATCAGCGCGTTACTAGAGGGGGTCAGTCGTTCAAGGTTATAAAGGGAATGAGTTGATGGTGAAGTTTGACCTGGAGTAAGGCGAAGTAATTTAAAATCTCCACCAGAAAGAAATTGATGAAAATGCAGCGCATCAGTTTCGGAGTAACAAAAAGCAACATAATCCTAAGACATGTATCCATTTTGTTCCGGAAGTATAAAAAATTGCTTGGGAATTTATAAGACACATTTTGTGGAGGACTTTTTAGTAAACGGTTATCGATAAATAAAGAATTTTTAGGCTCCTTATGGATAGCATTATCAGAGGCTAGTGAGAATTGTAGTAACGCCTATATTAACTATATTCTTTTCGTAACATGACTTTAAGCATCAATATGACTGTTTAATTAAGCTTGCTTCCAATTAAGTTTACCTCCCAGCATATGGCACAGTGTCATCTGGGTCACCTTACGAAAAATATTGAAAGACGGTTTAAGTGAACCAAAAACAACACAATAAAATCATACCGGGCTGTGAACGAACCCCTGCATATCCTCTGATTGAATATATCGACATAAAAAGTTGGTACAAGATAATTGAATTTCTACACTATTTTCGAATTACATTTGAAAGGAAAACTGACTAGTAGCAAAAGAAAGGGCTTAAATTTTACAATAAACAATGACTCATTAAATATTGACATAAATTTTGAAAAAAGACGAGATTCTGAGAATGAATGTCTGCAGAGAAGGTAAGATAGCAATATTTGGGTCGACCTACAAGATCGGAATTATTTTCAATTCAAAATGACTTGTTTAATGAGCATGGTCTAAAATAAAAGTTCAAATAGAAACAAGAAGAAAATGCTATTTTCAGCTGTATATCATCACTCGGGTCAATAAACCCAGTTTTGATATCAAGGACTTGCGTTATATTAATGAAATTAAACAGAGTAAATTGATGTCACTAAACAAGAACTTAAACTAAAATGATAAGAGTATAAAAGTGTGTACAACTAAAATGGAATTAATACAAACAATCCAAAAATAGTTGGTCGTCATCGACCAGAAAATGGCAGGTAATTTGAGAAAATTAACCGATTTGTACATATTAGATAATTCATTCGCTTTCTATTACGAACCATTTACAAACATTACTTCTAATCAGGTGTGTACATTCTTGGAATGGCTTCAATGAGATTCCGGCCCTCCTGACCATATCATTCGCTGCTTTTGCAATAGCATCTAAAATTGACAACTGTGCACACATGACATGTTCCAGTAAAGTGATAGAGGAAACGGAAGAAAAATCCAAGAACAATATGCAGTTACTCAATTGCCAATATCTTATTTCGAACGATTGCTAGCTAAAAATTCACGTCTATGGTGCTAGAGCGGATCGATGAGCTACTGCGGAGGAATTATTTATTAATGAGAATTAGCAAATTAAGCATTAGAAATAAAAGTTAAATAAGCTAGTATTTCAATTGATGAAAATTAATGTAAATCAAAAACCCTATAAACCGAGTTGAAGGAAAATAAAAAATTATCCTATTTAGACGAAAATTTCAAATCCGAAAATCATAAAGAATAGAAAAGGACTCGATTGTTTGAAGGCTTTTTAAAAGTTAAAAATTAAACATCACCACAAGATAAAAGTTTAAGGGTATCATTAAAAATTGTTTACAATATCTCGAAATATTAACACAAATCCACCAACGTTATTAATATCGGCAACTGCACATCTAAATTGAAATTAACTATAAGCACCTAAATACTGCTTAAATTACGCAAGATGGAATCGTTGAGACCAATGATGTAACAATTTTAGTTTTAATAATATCTCCAGGAGACATTATTTCATGACAAAACCAAAGACTTCACCTGAAGAAAGAGTCGTAAATCCTCACTGTTTGTGGTTTCTTCATTGGCTTCACGTTGTAAACGTTCAGAATCCTCTTGACTCAATGGGCCAACTGGTAATGGTTCCTCAATAGTATTCCGAAATTCAGATATCTGATTATCATTTTTGTCAGGAATATTATTTACAGGTTCCATCGAAACCTTATTTTCCTCTCCTTCGTGATGGGATTTAAACCCCTGCGTATCAGTCATATAGATATGCAGACCTATATAATCAAGAAATAAGAAAAATGAAGAAATAGTCAAATAAAGTGCTACCAAAATAACTGACGAAATAGACAATTGTGTAATAGGAATTTTAAATTAATAAGGAAAAAAAGTAGAGTGAACTAATTTGCATAACTGTAATTATATATTAACAAGAAAGAAATTAAAAAATCAAAATTTTTACTACACCTGCATGCAAAAATTATTTCGGTGGACTATACAAAGTAAAGAATAAGACAGAAAGCAAAATTAAACAGAATATGGACCTAAAATTTACCACAGAATAAATTGGGTTTAAAATACTGCCGATTATATTTTGGGATTAAAACAAGTTTAATGAACTCTCAAAAGTCATTTATTCAAAATTAAATATGCGTAAATAAAAGATAATTTTTAATAAAAGAATTAAATTTAAGTTATTTATCATTGTGGTATTTTAATTTATTTTTAGATTAAAATGATAATTTAATTTGTCTAGCTTTTGAACTGCGGGTAATGGATTCTACAGTACTAACTGATTCTTGTTGTTGTCCAAATCTGCATGGAAACTTAATCTTAAATCTCTAACTTTAATAAGTAATTGATCATCGCTCTTGAGTTCATTTGAAGAACGCAGATTAAACTCATTTGGTATTCATCGACTTCAATTTTTATTTCATAAATTTAATTTATTTCTTTCGAAATTATATCATGACTCTCAACGATTTTATTTTGCCTGCTATTTAGTCAATTAATTAATTCACCAGCCCTCTTAAATAAAAATAATGGATCAATTTTTTTTCAAACCCGCAGTCAAATCAAATAAAAATTTTAATATGATAGCAAAAAGTCCTTTACAGAATGTCAGACAGTCAATTTCTTTGCATTTCTAGTATTATTTCTTGATGATGGCGCCCGATCTCTGAACTCTTCAGTGTTCCTAAACAACTCATTAATGCTGATTTTTAGCCAGTGTTTATTTCCATACCGAATTCATAGCAAAAATATCATAGTCCACTAACCCTCATGCAGAAATATTTACATTTTTGGATTTAGATTAATTAAATATTAAAGTTGTATTTTCTTTTGCGATACATAAAATATTTTAATCATAGTAAACAGATTACATGTACTATGAATCTTATTGAAGCATTAATTTAAGACTCTAAAATGAGTCAATGTTTTCACTTCTCGTCAGAAATTCAAACGTAAATTCTCCTCTTGGGTTATTCACTGCGATCATTTGACCCAACGAAATTCAGAACACCTCGATGAATTTCAAAGGGTTATAACATTTTCCCTGTTTTTTAATCGTAATTTAGAAAGTATAATTTCGCAAGTGACCCGACTTTCAAATCACAAAAACACAGGTTCTGCAAGATTTATGTACCGATTTCTTCCGTAAAGACAGCCTTAATAACATCTATGGGTGGTCTTTATATATAACTAATTTTGAGAGTTTGGGACCGATAGTTGGCAACCGGAATTAACATAAATTATTTTAATTTTTCGGTTGGCAGGCTTCATGCTGATTATCATCAAACCTTTAGTCGACTTCAGGCTTCACAGAGGGGAGAAACACCAAAGGCACTAAAGGTTGAGAGGCGGGGGGGGGGGGGGGGATGATACACAGGTGTTAAAGAGACAGACACATAAGTAGAGAAAAAAGGTTAGGTAAGTACTGTAGAAGTGTTGGAATACAGAATACATTGAGGTTGGGGCAATTTGATGTCAGAATTCAACTGCCGGTTTATAGATTCCTTTGTCGTATATGTAAACGTTGCCCAAGTTGCACCACTTGAGTATAAGTCTATCGCACACATCGAAATGTTGGAGATAAAACTGGTCAATAAATGCATTTCAAAAGCAAAGTTTTCCTCACTGAGAAATGGAACAAATTAAGTTATTTCGTGTATGCTTTACACGATAGAAAAAATGATCAATATAACAGTTTGATTAATTGTCAATGAAGTTTACATATCTGTAGTTTATTAAGTTCTTCAGGTCTTATTATTTACGTTGAATCCAGAGGAAAGCACGCTCCAATTAAGGCAAAATCTTGAATGGTAATTTGGAAAGAACTAAAATTTTTTTGAAACAAGCACTTAAACTTAAAGCAATGTCTAAGACATGAATAAGAAATAATATTAGAAATAATATAAGAAAAATATATTTGTCTTAAACATATTTATGAAAACTCTGACTTATGGCAGTATTAACCTAATATTGTTTAAATCATAAATTTTTTCTATTTGATTTGCTAAATAATTGGCGCTAAAAAAGAGCGGTTTCTGAAGCCTACTATCTGTTGGCTTCGTGCTATCCTTTGTCTCACGGGATTTTAAGTCAGCGTATGTATTTTTTATTTTTTTACCTCTTACAAACTATTCTTTTTTTAACTCGTTTGATATTTGTTGCCTTAAGCTTTCCCTCTGTTGATAGACTATCTAAAGTTGATTTTTTAATTTCAGAATGGATTGCCTTGCGCGTGTTGGGGCATCATGCCTTATTACCAAGCCCATGCCAATATGCTGCATTCGACAAATTAAGGAATCGACTTCAACTCGTTTCCTCTATTGCTGTATAATCACCGTTGTCTCTATTTTATCTGTGATATTTCACACTGGTGGAATAGCACATAGCACTGCCATGCGAGTTGTAAGTTACATTAATTTTTCTATTAGTCTTTCAGTATGTATAATTTTTTACGTTTTAGATTGAGGCAGTTTTCTTACATTTCAAGTAATAATTTAAGATCTATAACTGTGGCTTTTTCTGTATATGCAAACTATTTTATGATATTTATCACTGGCTTTTCCTAGTGATCATTATCTTTTTTCCTGTCATCATGTAAATGCTTTGTACATTATTACTTTATTGGTCTATGTTGATGTAATTTGGGCTTTTCACTTATAATTCTTGCAATATTTTTGATACACTTGTCTACTTATCACGTTTTGGTGACTGCTTAAGAATACCGAATACTTTTACTCAATTTTCCTCTTTTCTTTGAATTATTTCCTGCTTTAGTTTGAAATTAAGGTGTATTCAATTTTGTAATTATTCCCATTATTTTGCCCGTCCTTTTTAAATGTTGTCAGTATTACGTCGTTCGGATGTTTATCAGCCAATTATCATTTTAAAAGATGTCCAGCAAACGAAGCCACTACACTGATATTCTTATTGTTCTGAGTCAACTATTGTCATTTGGACATATTTATTAGGATATTTGGGTTCTTATCTTTACGGATTGCTCTTTATTATTGATTGAACTTGTATTTTGAAAATAATGGGCGAACCTTGTTCAATTTTTAAAGTTCATTTAATTGGTATAGTTTTTCTGTTACGGTACTATATGAAAAATTTCGTTTTTATTACCTTTTCGTCTTTGTTCCATGTGTATACTTCCTTCATTGAATTGCCTTGATTCTTAAAATTGGCGATAATTTGTTATGGTTGATTTGCTCAATTTTATCCGCCATTTAATCTTGTTCATTTTTGAGTTATTTGTTGATAGCAGAAAAATAGTATACTATTTATATAATTCCTCATTGCCCCAACTATGAAAGAATCATTTTTCGATTAATTAGCAGCGTATTTTCTACTTGAAACTGTCTAAATTGCCTAATTTTTCCCTATATATTTCATTTCAGTTCGATGACATGATAGTAGAATTCTGCAGCCGCTTTCAAACTCGTGAACAATGCGTTCGTTTTGTGGGTTACATAGCTGTCTACCGATTTTGCATCCCCCTTGCAATTCTTCATTTTCTACTCATGCTTTTCACTGTCACCAACACCGATAGTCAATCTTGGCGGGGTAAACTGCATAATGGGTATGATATGTTCACTTCCTGTTGACAATTTTTTCTGTTTTCAAGGTTGAATGCTTTATCGATTTTTCTCACTTAGTTTCTGGTTATGGAAATGCGCCTTTATTATCGGTCTCTGGATTATTTCCATCTTTATTCCTGCTCTGGAAAAGGCCACAGTTGGTAGGATGGTTATTATTATTATTAATACTCAATATGACAGCCTGGATGTTGCTGGCCGTTCTGGGAGGAATTGCTTTCATTTACCTACAAAATGTCTTTCTCATCGACTTCGCCTATGAATTTAATGGAACTTGGTAAGATGTGCTGTCATATTGTGCTTGATAAATCTTTTATTTTTATAGTATGGAATGTTTATTTTTTTTCTTTTTCGTAGGTTCAGAAGAAGTAACAAGAAACCGATTTATAAAATTAGTAGGTTATGCAATTCTCGAATAGCTATTTTGTTATTTTAAATAAAGTTCTTTTGTTTCGCGATTTGCTTCGTTTTGATGGATGCCGTCTTATTTCGACAGTTTGTAGTTCCTTATTTGATTAAAATTAACCTTATTACGAACTATGCTTCTTTTGCATTGACGCATGCGCATCAACAATTTTCTCTAATTTATTCATTTTAGGTGTTTGATACCGACATCCCTCAAAATTAACCGATTATGCATAGGTTTCAACTCATGGTCATTTGTTTTTATTTCATAAAAAGTCTATCTTCAACCTTGCAGGTTTTTTTCTTACCCTTTCTCCAATAAATGACGCTTACCATGTTTTACTACTTCTATAAGATCTAGTTCTGATTGCGTTTCTAATTCCTAGGAGTACTAAACTACAGTTGATTGACCAATAAGAGATTAAGACTTTCTATTAATCAGGCGAATTCTCTAAATTTGAAATAAATTTGTCATTGGGGCATTAATTTCGGAAGGTCAATGCGCTCCCAATAACTCTCAAGGTCGAGTTACGTCCGCATGTCCGTAAAGATGATGGATGAAGTTTCGACAGTCTGTGGAAATTGTTTCTAAAAATAAACATAAGCAGTGTTGTGTCTGACAACCTCGATGGAACTATTGGGCCTTTTCAGTTATAATGCCAATCAGAATAACCTGATAATTAGAGCTTTTATTGTCTTCTAAATGGCTAAAATAATTTAACCCCCTGAAAACTGCTAACCTACTTTAAACTTAAAAATTCCGTTTTCTGTTTATTACCATAGAACTTTTATCATAAATAAGTTTGAAACTGAATTATAACCCTGAATGTCTGAAAATCACAAGTTGCTTGTATATTTCTGGTTAAATTTCAATAAGTCCTAGAGAAACATCTATTTAAGATGAAATTATTCTACTAATCGATACTGTATCTGTGTTATCAAACAAGCATCTCAACTCGCTAATGAACATATAAAAATTCAACTTGTGTCAACGCGCTTTTAAAATGCATGGAGGCATTAGGTGTGTGTTAAGTATTTAAATCTCGAAATTTTTCTTTGGTCGGGTGGGGGTTAAGCTTTCTTTGCACTCCACACGTTTCCGTAAATCATTCGAATGGGTGGTGTACAATTAAATCGGGGCACATTTTATTTTAATCTTTGTCTCCTAATTAGGCTAACCCTGAATTAAAATTGTTCCTTATCGAAATGTGCTCTACACATTTTTTTTCGAAATTTTTCCCCATTTATGGCCACATTTACGCTGTTGCTCTCTCTGTGTCTTATAATTATTACTTGGTATAGAATTTATCGATTTATAAGTTTTAACTCATATCAAGTAAACGTTCTTTTAAAATTCAACTTTGATGTTGTCGAATGCAATCTCAAGATTTTATTCCAAGAAGTGGAGACAGTTTTCTTGCCCTTGGGTAGTCTTTGCCGTATTTTCTATACATATTTTTAAGTGCTAATTTGACTCGATGCTAAATGGAAGGTCGGGCTCTCGACGACGTGGTTCTATGATACAAAATTTACTTTTAATATTTATTTAAGCATTACTTGCGCGTGCATATTCTATTCCATTAAAATGTTCATACTAAGTTTCTATTTTGTTACGGTCCTGTCCTTAAAGTTCTTCAATAGCTTTGACATTTTGTCATTCCTTGTTGACAAGAGTAGTTGAACTGATATTTTAGAAAACAACTATATTTCCCTTTCTAATTTTTGTCTTGACACATTTTTTGTATCTTGCTTTTTAATGCGTCTGAAATTTTTATTTGTCGCTTAACTAGTGTATCGAGATTATCTATGTGAAGAAAGTTCTAATACGAAGTTAACTTTTACATTAAATGTTGGAGTTTAGATGAGTTTCAAGCGCAATTAAACACGTTTTTTTACGAATAGATTATTTGACTGAAAGTGTGTGATTTGTTTCTGCTTTTCTCGAAATGCTAAATAAATTCTAGTTTTTAATGATGGTTTTAATTTTTTGATGAGTAAAACCTTATCTTCATATCCACACAACGAGTATTTGTCATCTTCAATTCCATTTTCATGATTTGTGATAACATTGTCTTTTTGCTAGGTTGGGCACCTTTTTTCCCTGTTCCCTAATTGACGGTTATTGCTGATGAGTATTTTTACACCTTTGTGATAGGAACGGACAGCCTCTTGTATCTTTTTCTCTTCTTGAATGCGTGTTCAAATGCACGGTTGAAATTCAAATCATTGCTTGCGATTTCATATCTTACATTTTTTCCCGAATGGATCTAAATCGGTCTAAACGTTGTCCCTCCTTAAAGGTACGAATTAGGCGGAGCATTTTCAATTATCAGAATTATTTTTTTCTATTAAAAATACATTAGCATAAATTATGACGAATTATCCTACTTTTGTTACTCATTAAGGTGAAAGGAATTGATTCAAAAAAAATTAATTTTTCGGACTGAGCATTTTCACCTTTAAACGCGATAGCAAATAAACCAGTCAATAAAATTAGCTACTGGTGGGGATTTTCGAGGAAATCAAATTTATCTCCTTGTGCACTCATTATTTCCTGAATCATTTTTTCCAACGCTCGCACTATTGTCCCACAATTAATTATTACATTTGTCAATGATCACTTTGATCATTATATTTAACCGCGTCGAGGTACAAAGTCAATGCAATTCATAAGCCACTGGTCAGAATAATGTCAGATTTAAGACGGAGATTCTAAAAAAGTCATTCGTCCACATAAGATGTGTGCTGGAAGTGGCTGTCCTTCAAAAGACTTTTCTATAATATTATCTTGATTGTTACAGTTCACAGTTCTTTGAAAAAATATACAAGAATGATAAACTCCTGGTCATTGTGTATATATTTTGAATCGGGTTATAATTTACTGCTTAACTTTTAGCGATCGTTGCAATTACAACAGTCCTCTATCTGGGCGCATTCGTCGCTTACTTTGTGCTCTGGGCATTGTGGAGCTACATGAATTCCTGCGTACTTAATGCAATGATTATCTACGTGAATGTCTGCGTCACTGGACTCATTCTCTTTTTGTCTCTCGTTCATCCACGAAGTGAGTACCCTCTACTCTCTCTCTCTTTCTATCTCTTTTTCTTCATTCATTTATTCATTTATACTAACTGGAGATTTTCTTTCGCTGTTTAACTACTTTCGATCTCAATCCTCTCCTCTTGAATTAGGTTTATTAATTAACTTTAGTTGTGTACTTACGAGGGGGGGGGGGGGGGGGCAGAATCATATCTTCAGACCCCAGCTAAAAGTTGTTCTGTAGAGTCTCTTTTCTTGTGGTATCATTTTTTGCCCTATTTACACAGATTTGCTGTCAAAAGTCTTGGAATGATTGTGTGGTATGGAAAGAGAAAAAAATGTACCTCGAAGAACGACAATTGCCCTTTTGATGACATGGAAGTAATGGGTCGCTGTTCTGGTTATTAGAA